TTTGACAACATAGTTAGATTGACAGAAAGGTATTAAATAAAAAGATTAAATTTGGGAATATGGATCTCTTAGTTGCGTATTTCCTTGCTCTTTTATGATCAATGCTAACGGGATACACAGCTGAAGCCACCTCAACTGCAAGTTAACCAACAGAATGGCGTTACACTTTCTCACATGTTATTTCTTTCAAAATGACGATTTTTCACTGAAATTTTGAATTTCAATAAAATAACCTAACGTTTTGCTGGCCCTCTTCACCCTGGTTTAAACAATGGAGTTTTCAGGTAAACTGTTAATTATGGGTTCCCTTTACAGAAAATATTTTACAAAGAGGCTAACAAGGCTAACTAATAGATGCTTGGCCAGATGGTTAAATAATTGCTGCATAGTCCAAAAAGATAAGCAGCTGTGACTTACAGCTACCTATTGTACCTTCTGCTGAGGTGCTTATGCAGAGGCGATTCATGCTAGTAACATCTAGTGATTACTTATCCACCGTTTCTAAATCACTTATAAAAGGAACCTCAGTATGAAGTGTGACCAAAATTGGAGAGTACAGATACATGCTGGTGGACATTAACCCTACTGTCGAATTCTCACCAAAGGAAGCATCGACTGAGCTACAGAAGGATTTTTGTACTGTTCCTTTCCATGTCAATTTTCCAAAACTGAATTTATTTTTGCCTGTTATACACACAGTTGTGCATTCATATGTGTGTGTGTGTGTCTGTCTGTCTCTTTCTATATATACACATACATATGTGTGTGTGTGTGTACATATATATACATATATATGTATTTATATATATATATATATACACACACAGACACTGCTTTCTATATATATATATATAGAGAGAGAGAGAGAGAGAGAGAGAGAGATAGATATAGAAAGAGAGAGAGAGACAGACACACACACACACAACACATACACCTTCCAGTGTTTTAATAACAACTCTTTTGCAAGCCAAGCAGACATTCTTTAAAACTAGACTTTCCCTATATTACTGGCCTTTTCATAACTGAACAGAAGCTACAGCACAGCACAGCACACCACACAGACCGTCACATAATTGATGTTAGACTTTGTTGAACCTGTTACATGTGAATTACTGCAGCGGGAGGAGGTCTCCATTTGCACTTTCTGAAATCCCAAGTACTTCCACAGGAACTTGTTAGCTAATCCAATTTCAAGGCGGACTCTTGTTTAGCGATGGAGAGAAAACTCTCTCATTACAATGTAATACCTAGCATTCCCCTAGCGTGGGCTGTGCTCATACCAATGAATCCCCAAATAATTTAGGGATTTACAAGAATCATTTTGCTCACTGGAGAAATGAAGCCACCTCTGGGCTGGAGCGTGGAGGCGGCTGATGGAAAACAGCAAGACTAGCCAACCAGTTTAGCGTGGGATTGGACGAACGATACCGTATCCAAGCTGAAACAGCAGGGAGGGAGAGTTTTTCACAGCAAAATGGGTTTACCCAACATCGAAATTGCCAAGTGCTGTGAGACATGCCCTAGGATTATCACGGCTGCCTGTTTGCAGGCTTTTGGGTGGTGGTCAAATTACCGAGGCATTGCAGATACACCTCTATTTCAGCATGGCGTGTGCAGAGTCTTGTATTCCCTCTCTCCCCCCACACCCTCTAGCGTACCTCCAAATACATCCCCCTTCCATGAGCATTACTTCTCTTCTTGGTCCATCACGACTAAGCTGCACCCTTTCCATACCCTGCAACGCTGCTACACTGCAAGGCACTAAAGCACGGGGTGTTCGCAGAGATATACAGACCGTAGAAATAGATGGCAAATATTCCACCGTTGGCTGCATCGCTGTGGAATTTCATCAGGATCTGATTGGAGGAGCTTTGGGTGGATTTCTTTGCTGAGTTCCCAGTGAACACACCCAGCTGTGGGGCTGTTTGCTGTGGCCCATCCCTAAAAAATACAAGTCAGAAATGGAAGACTGCAATGACAAGACACTTCTCTTCCTGTTATTTCAAGTAGAGACTAGCCCTTTGCATGCAGATGCATTTACCCCCTGGTCCTAGAGCTGTTTTCACTACCATGACCCTAAACCCCGCTGGAGCAGCCATTCTGGGTGGCCAGCTTTACCTCCATCATGGTACAAGTCAAGTCTTCCCAGGTAGGGTGGACCAATGCATTTGTAGATAGAACCACCGACTTCTTTTTTTTTTTTAAATAGAGGAGTCTGAACATGGATAACAAAGCCCAGATTTTCCCCAGGACCTCTGGGTTGGGTGCTGAGCTGAAAATTTCATCTTGCATTTAGCGCAAAGCTCTTTAAACAAAATTGTCTCTAGCATCCTCCTTGCTGGAGCAACGCAACTAGGTTATTCCCATGCCATGCATGACTTATCCTTCCATCTCCATAAAGGAAATGAAGACCCCACCCTGCAGTACTCTTGGCCCCAATGTTCATCAATGGGGTTCTGCTGTCTTTGGCTGAGTTAAGACCATTAACATCAGCTGAGAACCGGGCTCCCAGAGGCTCTACCAGTTTAGAAAGCACCTTTGGGTTTAAACCTGGTTCTCCGCACCTGAGATGGTGCTAAGCTACAAACAAAGGCGTTCTATGATTTTAGCTGGGATTGTGGAGTTACTTATATCTGATGACAAAGCAAGAGCCAAAGAGAGCATCTGCAAATGTCAAAGATTTACCAACTTTTTTTACCAAACAATATCTATCTAGTACAATAAAGCTATTCGGCAAAGGAATAAACAAGCCCCTAAAACATGACTGTTGGAGAAATCGGAAGTGAAAGGCAATTCCTATTTTGCCAGCTTGAGCAAGATTCATTTCAGTTAAATTCAGCTGGAGATAAAGACCCCATTTTACCATTCGTCCAGCCTCCTCTGTAAAGCCTCCAAGGCTCCCTAAGCCATGTTCTCTTATTCCTTTCTGCAGTGTTTCAGAGATGGAGGGAGAGACACAAAAGAAAATCCAGCAGGAGGAAGAAGGACCTGTATTCTTACCATGTCCAGACACAGGCTACAATGCTGTCTTTTGTTTTTTCCCCCAAAAAGAGACCCAGCCTCCAGGTAAGGTAATTGAGCCAGACTTCACAGATCCTCAGTGGGGCTCGCATTTGTTTAACCAGGCACTGGAAGAAGGTCAATCTCTTTCATTTTTAGTAGCTGATGATTGCAGAATTAGCACTAAGACAGGTCTGAGAGGGGATGTGAGGCATCGCTATTCAGTCAAGATTGGGACGACACCCTATTCATTATTCTTCAGGTGCCAGCTCTTTGAACTTCACTGATGTCTGTGGAAAGGGGGCAGGGAGAACTTGAAGTCCATGGATCTATGGACCAACTGACACCAACTGAGGACCTGCTTATAAATCCTTTTCCAGTCCCAAATCATCAGTTTCCAGTGCGTCCCCTGGAAGACCAATTTACTCAGTGCTTCATTCCCTTTGCTGGCATTTCCCTGCTTTGCAAAAGAGTACCATTGAAGCTTAGCTTGGAGACAATCTCTCAGATCACCTTGCCCACTCCTATAATGCGGTTCACGATCTTCTAGATAAAGAGCCTATCAGATACCGACAGGATCATTAACATGGAAGATCCCATCAAGCCTAGCTCTATTTCAAAACCTGTCTGCCCAAAAGCAACCTTCTTCTCTGCTTTCAAATGCCTCGTTCCCTACAGATCTCAGTGTTTGCTGCTTGATCTAGCATTAGCTCTTAAGCATGTGCTTAACTCTAAGCATGTATATTGGACTACTGACAAGGTCTAAATACCCCATGTTAAGCACCGAGGCAGAAATATAGGTTGCCATTATGCTGCCTCCTGATGCACTCACCAGACAGTGATGAAGTCATTGTAAGGCTCTGTTTGCAGCAGGGTGAAGTTGAGGTGTATCCCATATCCTACAGGGACTGTGAGGATCCAGGTGCAATCCTGGGAGTTGGGGTATTGGTTGGGGAACCCCGGGGAGTAGATGGTGCCATTCTGCATGGTGATGTTTCCTCCGCAGGGGACTAGACATCATTAACAAAGAGAAACACAGTCCGGTTAAAAAAAGTCCTAACTATAACATCTCATCCCACCCCTTCCCAAGCTGTTATTCCTCCCTTTCCCTCCACAGCCTTGATCCCTCCAGCTGGAGTCTGCAGCTCACTCCCAAATCCATCAATGACCCTCTGCTCCTTAGCTCCAGAAGACCATTCAGGCCCCCGATCAGAGGCTAAGCCAGCTGCCTAACCAGAGCTCCAGCTAGCACAGAGTTAAAGTTTGAAGTCAACTTCCCCAGCAGCATCACTGCTTCTGGTCACACCAGTGATCTGATGGGAATGAAGGAGCATCATGTGAGCACAAGTGACCGGTCTCATGCAATACACATTATGATCAAGAGGCAGGTCAGACAGACGAGGCAGTAGCTATCATTATGTCTCGATCTGAAGCCACAGACCCAAGCCAAGTGGGAACTACAGGGACATGGGGTTCCTGAGTTTTCAACTCAACCGTGTTGTAACAAACCCTGCTCAGGGCTTCAGAACCATGCAGAGACAGCCGGAGGCTTCCTGTACCTGGCTGACAGCCACGTATGCCAAAAAACATACCCCATGGGGCTCGGGTTCACCAGGAGCATTAACCCATGAATAAGCACCCCACTCCTGATCTGATCAACCCCAAGTATTTATCCAAATGGAAGTATGGCATGACCTCGGCCAGCATGAAAGTGGCACAGTCACTGGTGTTTCACAGAGTGGTCTTGAAGCAAGGGTACATGGAAAACAGGAAATCCAAGAAGAGCACACAACAACTGCAGATGCATCCTCTGCCTGAAGAAGGGTGTTTGTATCTGAAAGCTTGCAAAGAAGAATTTTTCCAACTATTTTAGTTGGTCTAATATAAGATACAGGATTTACCCACATATATATTCACACCTTGTATTCCCTTACTGGAGCCAGGGTCCTGTAGTGCCATGTGCTGATCAGGCACATACGGTTTAGTCTAGCTAGCTCGTGTGACAATAAAAGTGAAGATACACTGGCATGGGCCTTAGCATGTGCTATCAACCAGAGTATGCATCCAGGGTCCTGGAGTGCTTTACTGCAGCTACTTGCATGACTTCAATTTTACTAGGATGAGCATACCGATATTGGCCCTTCATTGCATTGTGTGGATTTTGCAAGCTACCCAGACAAGTTAAACCAAGTATGGAAGGGGAAGTCGCTTCACAGAAACCTGATGTGACCTGCTTGCACAGCAGATCACTGATAGAGCTAGTGATGGTGCTGAGGCTTTTGGACTCCCAGGCAGGTTTGACCCGCGGGGTTTCTCCAGGATGGCAGATTTCTATACAGACCCTTCCCAAGTTTGCTTGGAGCAGTGTCTTATACTTTGCAGTCTGACGGGCCCATGGAGACTATAACTCTTGCACCTTTCTCCTTTAGCTTATGCACACTTCACATCCAAGCATCTCCGCTAAGGTCTACAACATCCTCCCTAACTTCTATTTGTGCAAGTCAGAGCAGAGTCAAGCTTTGCCCTAGAACTCATTTCCAGTCTGCTCTGCTTACCCAGGTGAGCAAGTCCAATAAGAAAACATTTTCTGAAACAGCCAAGGAGACTGGCATGCTTGGTTCCTCTTAATTTTAATAAGAGCTGGGCAACCCAGTGATCCCCTTAAGCAGCTTTGGAAATCTCAGCCTACATGTAGCCATTTCAAAATTACAACCTCTCTTACAATTAAATGGGCTTTCTATTGCAACCTGCATGGAAAAGTTGAGGCTGTTAGCCTAAGGCAATGACTTCCCAGGGGCAGTTTTCATGCAAAATACATAGCAAATGTTGGTTGCATCTAAGGAGGATTATATCAAGAAAGGAAATGTTTGCAGCAATCTTAAGAATGCTAATAATTCTGTATATGGGATATATACAGCCAGGGGAAAAAAGCCCCCAAAATGTACCTAGCCATCTGCTCCTATACTAAAGTATGTGGGAAGCATATTATCACATTTAAAAGCATTGCAAGACATGCTGACTGCTTTATACTCCCTCTATGTTTCTTTCAGTGAAGACAGGGCAGTCCTCACTTGAAGAACCCAAGAAGAAAAGAACAAAAGGGATGTTTGGAAAATGTGGGTGAACTTGGTTCAGGGATACCACGGCTTGATCCTGCTCCCTTCAACAGACAGGCGAGGGCAAAGCACACTGCAGAGCAGTGATCAGGATGAATACCTTGTGGGATGAAGCATGGTATGTGTGGTGTTAATCAGACTGAGATTTTCAGCTGGAGCATATTGCTGGAGTAATCAATTTACCCCAAGCTTTGGCTCTTTATTTTACATGCCCTCTGACCTTCCAGGACTTGTGGATCAAGGGAAAAAAACAACAATGCCCAAAGCTATTTTAGCACCAGGTGGTCCACAGAGATTGGGATAAACCTCCCTGCTTTGAGAAAGTACCAAGTGGGATCTGCAGTAAGCAAGCTTGGGTTTTTCAGGTTTCACACAAAAGGGGCCTCCTGGCAGCCAACAGCAGGGAACTCCACTGGGCTGCTTCGGCAGGATGAATCCCATGTTATCCCTGCTCAGATCTGAACAGAACATCTTAACGTTTCCAGTGATGTCGGGAAGGCTGGACAGGTCC